TATTGCAAGTTACAAGGTTTACTCYACAAATGTTGCTTTCAGTGATTATTTGCATTTGTTCTCAAAGATCATAATACAGCAATCCTGTTTCAGATAATACCATCATTCCAATAGAGCAAAAATCAGACAGATAACAAAAATCAAATACAGTTTTTAACACCTACATTTAAGAAATCTGTACCTGCACACTTAATATGTATATATTTGTTGGCCATCATGGAACACTAAGTTTATGGTTGTGGGAGAGGCGCATGTTTCCGATGCAAATCATAAAACTCACCACAAAGAAAGAAAAAAAAACTGCCTTCTGACAGGGCTGGTATGCARCGAGACACTCTCTCTCACACCATGAGGCCGAGGCACACACCTGCTGTTAAGGTGTGTGTGCGTGACCGCCTTTGCGTGAGTAGAAAGACTAACAATCTTCTCAGTCATTACACCTGCTTTTATGTCCACAAATTCTTCTTTGAGACGTACAACTGCAGGCAAAACATGTTGTCGTGTTTTTCCCCTAACTCAGCTCTGTGAAAGTGGACAGAAGAAAGAACATTCGGTCGTCCAACTGGGGGCTTTTGGTTGGATTCAATCTACACAGTTTTAGACACGCAGAAGCTTGTCTGCAGTAATCTATAATTTCTTTAAATCTTTATTATTTTTTTTAAATTCCCAAACTATTTCAACACTTCTACTCACAAGTGGGCTCAGACATTTTTCCTCCCACTGGCCGTCAAAGACTTATTTGGATTTCTCTGTTGTAAATGAATAAAGGTGTTTAAGGCAGTGTTTCCCAAAGTTGGGGTCGGGACCCAAAGTGGGGTCCCAAAACATCAAGGTGGGGTCCTGAAAAGATTTTCTAAATTAATTAAATTTTTGTCTTAGTTGTTACAAATGAGTTAGATTAGTATATTTAAAATGGATAAATGTAGTATCAAAAATATTGTTACTGTGCCTGTGTTTAGTTGACCTGATACAAATGTTTATCATCCAGAAACAGCTGGGAGCACAGGTCTCTGTGGGTCAAAAGCTGGAACGTTTGGGAACCACTGCACTTTGGTTCCCA